TTCTGACGAATTCACTATCGTACTCGTTGGAGTTCACCAAGATTCGAATACTCTAGATTCAACAATTTTGTTCTCAACGAAACCAGTATGGTATATATGATTGGTATAAACATGCATAGATAGATGGAGCTGAGATGATTGAATAAGAACGTTATAGAAGTCGATTCAAGGCTTAAAGAAAGTCTTTCTACTAGTCTAGTAGTTTCATGGAATCCCATTCGGAGTTCTGTTATGTAACAAAGTAATAGCTGTGCTTTTGTATGAAGGCATATCATGCTATGGATTGCAGTCCATTAGCCACTATGCATACACATAAAGCGAAAAGTGCTGACATTGTTTCGTAGTACTGTGTGTTCTCTTATTTGGTGAGACGAAATATGCTTGAATATTTGTCTTCTATTTTATCAGTAGTGCCCACATGAGCAGAAGAAAAATGAGAATACCAATGTGTACTTAGTTTTTGGTAAAACAAGGACAATATCACTATTTTGTTTTTAATTTGATACCTTCTCACACGTTCAATTTCTCATTTTCTGTCAAGCTACTTTGTAAAAATAATCAAAATGTCACAAATCAAAGAATAATGATATACAATTGAGATAGGAAAATGAACGAAAAGCTAAAGTTTCTAGATTCTGACATCTACTGAGATGGCACTAATAACAGAGAAGAATATTGAGATCTTTGTGTAGCTCTCAGGAAGATGTAGGTGTGGGTATGAGGATGGTTCCCTTTACACCCACACCTCATAATGATACTAAGACAAATCATTTGGATGGAAGTTCTACCTACACTATTTTTTTTATAATTTTTAATGGTTTTTCGATTGATATATTTATAAACTAGAAATGAAAACCATATCTTTCTTTTTTTTTTTGATGATTAATATTACTTAAATGTGGTTAATAATAAATTATGAAAATTAGTGGTTTTCAAAAAACAAACTTATTATCAAAATATAACCCATTAAACTCTACATCAAATGATATATGGAAAACTTTTAAAATAATTATTTGGCAGCAAAAAATGAATGAAATATTAAATTTGTCTGAAAACTTTTTTCTGCTGAAGTAAAATTGTTAGTATAAAAAAAAACAATTATAACTAAAATTCTGAAAAAATTTATATCTCACACAAAATATGAGAGGTGTTCAATTTTTTCTTCCACTTTATATATCCAATTGTGAGAAAGAAATGATAACTTACGCTTAGCGAGTATACAAGGACTATTACACGTGTGCGTGTAAGAAGCTAGGCTATTATAAAAATGTGACGCGTCGATTTGTCGGAGAAAATGATATTTACATTTCTCTTTTCAAAGAACGCGATAAAGGATGATGAAATAATCTATAGCGTACGCGTTGTAGTCTGATGAAATTTCTGATGGGAAAGAAAACATTGGTATTCGCATGACTGTTACCAAAATAGATGATAATGAGTGATGATGAAATCGTTTTTTGCGTAATTATTTTCCATCCTCGCAATAATATATTTTGTGTAGGTTATTGCTGCCTTTTTTTTCTTTTCTTTACTCTTATTGCTCTTCTCAACAAATTAGTCCGTAACGTAAAAAAGTATAGTTTAAATATTGATGTTTGTACACAATTTGATCATTAAAATAACATTTGAGCGTTTTCTATGCTTTTTTTAAAACTTATGAATTCAAAAATTCTTGGAACAACAACAACATCATTGATGCTCTCAATACGCAACTGAACGTTTATATGACTAGGATGAGTCATCAATTCTGCTTTGTGACTATTTTTTCTTTCCTTTATATTTGATCTACTTACTGATTGATGCTTTGAATGCGCTTATATCTAAATGCACTGTGTGACGAGTTTTTTTTTTTAATAACTGACCCATTTTAGTTTATAATGATGACATAAGGTTTGAGAACTTTGAAAAAAATTGAAGTAATTCGATATTATTTCGAAGATGAATAAGAGATCGTTCTACTTGAAAAATTGATGAAATGAGTTTTATGAAAAATAATTGGGTTCTTTCGATTATTATCATGGATGTATGAATATGATTCTTCATTTCAACCAACTGACATCTACACTCGGGATCCCTCTATATCATATTATCTTTTGTCAGAATCTTTTCTAAGAATTGCCAACCAAGATGATTAACGCATCGAATAAAAACTGGTGTATTTTTGTTACCTACTGTGCTAATAGGCATATTATCTTATATAATATCTTTACTTTCTCAGTGTGTTCTTGTACAATCAGTAATACAGTGTTCATTATCGTGTTACTCTTACATTTATCTAAGATTGATTGAACCTTGTTCTCTTTCTGTCGTACTGCGCTTCTCAATATATATCACCATTCACTCGTTCACTCTTATATTGTAATCTCCTTGGCCTCATCACTTGTTCATCCTTACGTTGTTCTCTCCTTGACCTCTTCATCTTTCATTTCATTATCTCTTATTCGACTCATGTATATAAACGTGTACTTCATATGTAAACACGGCGATTGTATGATATGAAGGATTATAATAAAGTGTAACTCCATCTGCACTAACATACCTTCTATCATAAATCGTCACAGTTGACGATTGATAATATGAAGAAGTTCAATAAAGCATAATTCCATCAGTATTAACACTTCTTCTATCTGAAAATCGTCACACCTACATCGTTTGAAAAAGACATAACTCGTTTTGTATATATACTAGATGGTTCAGATTAAATAGTAGTATCAATAAGACTGTAAAATTCTGATATATGTCGCTTTTGTAGGAATTAATTTTGTGTTATCTTTTGTTTTATTCGATAGCATTTTGAGAAATCAACAAATAAAATTATTCATTTTATTGACCTTGAAAAATTTTGTCTTTCAGATGCAGTTCAAAATTTTCCAAATGAAAACATGAACCACAAAAAAATAATTTTGGACATTTAGAAAAATTCGTAGAAGTTGAACAAAAATGAATGTTTTTCACTTATGTCTGTTTTATTTTAAGAAGTCAGTACGGAATGCACGATGGCTTACGAATATATTTTTTACTTTGTTCAGAATGATACCATTCAAATAAACTAAATTTCGACCATTGGCAATCCAATTTGAAGAGATTAGTTATTCATTTCGCAATACTTGATTGAAACAGATTTCGTTCTATAGGACAAGAAAGAACACTTTTTATTGTATGAAAACAAAGTTGTCTTAGCGATTTCTCTTTCAGAAAAGAGCTTTAGGAAGCTAAATATATCGAAGCTGCACAGTATTGTTTGAACAATATTCCTTATGCAAATGTGAGATCAAACGTCCTTGTATATTTTTATAGAGAATTGAACGGAGAATGTCTTGAAAAGAAGTTTAAATGAAAATGATGAAAACTAGAGGAGATGTTGGTGAAATACTGACGCTGTCATTAAATCTGGACCTTTCGGTAGATAGAACACAACCAATATTATATTTAGCAACAGCAGTCGAGTTCATCGATATACGAGAAACATTTTTCGCTTATTTAAATTCAACAACTAACATGTCCTACAGATTTCTAAGGGCATCTTGATGGTCATCGCATAAGAACATGACTTTTTTAGATGAACAACTGTTGGATCCGACTCGACAAGCTCTACACAACAGACGTAGGATATCCTAGGTCAGGATTCGAGTATTTCATCTCGTGATTCGCGACACGCCCAATTCCAACTGAGTTCGCACTGGTTCCAAATAGAACTCGATGAGCTCTATCCAACGCACCAGTTTTTTTTCCGAGAACAAACAATCCTTACTGGTCAAAACCCGTTTTTTTCGCAAAAAAACAAGAAAAAACAACACAACGACACCAAAACCACTCGCGATTCGGTCAGAGACCGATTCCAACAAAACCAACACTGATTCCAAGTAGATCTCGATGCGCTCTATCCAATGGACACCTTTTGAGCTCAAATCGATGCATCCATCGCTGAGAAATCGGCCCACAAGACCCGAAACAACGCTTTTTTCGGGAAAACCTCTCGCGATTCGACCAGTGGCCGATTCCAACAAAACCAACGCTGGTTCCAAGTAGATCTCGATGAGCTCTATCGAATGGATACCTTTTGAGCTTAAATCGATGCACCTATCGCTGAGAAATCAGCCAATAGGCCTCAGAGCAGAGGATGGGTATGGGGTGGGGTGTGGGTGTTGTTTTCTTTTAAGTCACACCCCACACCCACACCCGATAGGTGCATCAATTTAAGCTCAAAAGGTATCCATTCGATAGAGCTCATCGAGATCTACTTGGAACCAGTGTTGGATTTGTTGGAACCGGTCACTGGGCGAATCGCGAGAGGTTTTCCCAATAAAAGCGCTGTTTCGGGTCTTGTGGGCCGATTTCTCAGTGATGGATGCATCGATTTGAGCTCAAAAGATGTCCATTGGATAGAGCGCATCGAGATCTACTTGGAACCAGTGTTGATTTTGTTGGAATCGGTCTCTGACCGAAGCGCGAGTGGCTTTGGTGTCGTTGTGTTGTTTTTTCTTGTTTTTTTTTGCGAAAAAACCGGGTTTTGACCAGTAAGAATTGTTTGTTCTCGGAAAAAAACTAGTGCGTTGGATAGAGGTCATCGAGTTCTACTTGGAACCAGTGTGATCTCAGTTGGAATTGGGCGTGTCGCGAATCGCGAGATGAAATACTCGAATCCTGACCTAGGATATCCTACGTTATGAATGCACATATCACAAAGTCCAACATGAATTGACATCAATATCCGTGCCGTACATTCAAATGTGTACGTGTACTGAAAAACAACATTGGTGAAAAAGTACATCTAATGGTTGTTGTCAAAGGCAATTCATACGGACATGGCATGATGGAAATAGCTCAAGCAACTATGTCTGCTGACGCAACTTGGTAGGCGTCGCTATACTAGACGAAGCATTAGCCGTGCGTTCTAAACTTTCACAAAACATTCCCATTCTTGTTCTTGGTTATGTTTCTCCAAAACATTTATTATTAGCTAGTCGATTTAACATAACAGTTACAGGCATCTCACTCATATGGATACAGATCTTAATCGATTTGGCTTAAAAACAATAGATGAAGTACGAATAGTAATGAAGATTATCTCTCCAAATCCGAATTTGAATTGTATGGGAGCTTTTACACGTTTTTCTACTTCTGAAGATATGAAAAACAAGAGTTATTTTCATCAACAACTAGCAAGTTTCTACGAATTTCTCGATGTCATTCCAAATCGCACTGACAAAATTATTCATGGTGCTACTCTATATCATACTGAAAAACCTTTCTTTGATATGATTCGTTTGGGAAAAGCATTGATGGATCCACCAAATGAAGAATTAAAACATTTACTTCCAGTTGAACTTCAAAATACACTCTCGCTTTACTCTATCTTACATATTGTGAAGCAATTAGATGCCAATGAGAAAATCAGTTATGGAGGTATCTATATAACAACAGAAAGTCAGTGGAATGGCACTGTACCAATTGGATTTGCAGATGGATGACATCAATAATTTAGAACGAGTCATGTTCTTGTAGAGGGGAAATGAGTACCAATTGTGGGACATATCTCTATGAATCAATTGATGATTGCTTTACCTCAAAAATATCCGATCAGAACTCGTGTAACCTTGATCGGTCGGCAAGACAATGAGACGAGAGTTGCAGACGAAATTGCACAAAAAGCAAATCAACCACGATCAAAAGTATTTTCTTGTCTTTCAAGTCGTATATCATGTGTTTACAGACAAGATGGTTCGATTTTTAGTATTAGAAACCCGATATTGGAATCTTAAAATGTGCAATAAACTGTTATTTTTTGATTTTATCCTTTTATGACTAAAATATAAAACATGTATGAATGATTTCGAATAAAATCGCCTATTTCTTTCAATTGTTTAAAATTTTCTGCGCAATATATAAGAAGTAAATCTACTAAAGATATCTTTAGTACTTCAATAGAATTCTTTTTCGGTTTATCTATAAAGATAAAAATGACATCAGAAATGAAAATATGAGTCATTTTATAAACATCTATGTGTTTCATTTCTTTAAAATACAATCACATGCACGTATAAAAGCACACTTTATTTTAACAATAATAAATACGTGTTAACTTTCATCTGCTAACAATATATAATGGGATTTGTGACTCTAATCTTCTTGTGGATCATCGCGTTTGTAGCTGCTGTTAACTGCCAAGGAGGAGGCGGTGGTGGAGGTGGAAGTGGAGGCATCTTTGGTAATTTTGACATGAAGTGTAGTTTTTATATAATATTTCCTATGAAGATAATCCAATAATTTGGACTTTTTGAACTAATATCTTTTATAAATTTGTTTTAGGTGTTTTCGCCATCGTTCTAGTTCTGCCTATATACTGTTGTTATCAATGTTGTGCAGGTAAACCAAGACGATCTAATACAAAATTTGTTAATAAAACAACGACAAACGATGAAGAAAAACAAATACTTGACATACAACTTTTTCAATCAGGTCATTGGGAGAGTCAATACTATCAATATAATAAATGGCACGGACCTCATCAAATTGAACTATCATTCGATATTCTACTATCGAAAGTAACAGGATCAGGATTAGATGATATCGGTATGTATTCTATCGAAGGTATCTACTCGACACAGACTCGTCGAATGGGTTTAATAAAGAAATATCAACTTGGTACGGGAAATCCATTAGAAAATTTAGGACACACTGTTACTATTCAACTCGAATGGAACAAATATAGTAATCAATTCGAAGGCAAATGGTATGTACGAACGAAGAAGTTTAAAGGATCTGGTAATTTTAAAATGCATTTCGACAAACGAAATCAACAAGCACCATTCTTATCGATATATGAAAAAGTGTAAATGATTAATGATTTTTTTTTTGTTCTATAACCAGTTGATAATTATAAAATGATTTAAAAAGTTGTTCATTATGTCAAATGTACTCGATTTTTGATGATTACAATACAAGTTTTCTTTTTATACCTGATTCTAATGTTTCATTAAAAAAGATAATAGTATCCAAAAATTCAAATTTGTTAGATTCTTTCTTAACAGACGAATCTCTTTCAAATATCGTCCGTTGAATAACGACAAAACTTCGTAATAAGTTTTGTTCAAGTACTATTATTCAGATCATCGACAGTTTCAAATACAAACAATTCAAGAGAAAAGTAATCAGTGTTTTATCCAACATGTGGCCTTCCATTCCTTCGAACATCAGGTTGGCTGTCACCATAACTTCATAGGGTTCTGTTTCGGAGAGCAAAGACTTAAGGAAGAAAATCTCCGAAAGCTGTCGAGAAACCATTCATTCATCAGATTTTCCCCAAAAAATAAATTTTTGGCTGGAACTTTTAATACTCTCGTTATCAATCGTGAACAGTTTTTTCTTCAGTGTGGATGAGAATCTTCCTCTTCTCTTCAGCCATACTCTCCATTATTATGGAAGGAGAACAAAATGGATCCATTTAAAACTTTATTGCTTCACCTAAAAAATCGAGCGTGTGTCACCCATGATATCCTACAAAAGTATTGTAAGTATCATTTTCGAAACAGTACATTATGTCAGTATTTTATGGAAACTATTGAAAATTTTTGTCTTGTAAGATATTCATCGGATACCTAATAAGCGACTTGGTCGAAACATGTTCAGTAAAATGACACTTGAAATTGTTGTTCAGATATTGAGCTGATTTTCACACATAGTATTCGGTTGTATCTATTAAATAAATTTTAAAATTGTTGACAATCAAACCATACTATTGACGTCGGTTTTATCTTCCGTCGTTTCAATATGTAATTCTTCAAAATCTGATCTGATTCAGTTTCTCTGTGAGAGTAAATAAATGATTTTCTTTAGAAAACTGCAAACAAAACTTCGCTTTTACCCAAGCAATCTGTTCCTCTGAAAAACAAAAAAAACATCAACTATCCACAACAGAAAATTGTCAGAGAGAAATACAGAACGCTAGAAAAATTTAGTACGTGGAAATCAACTTGCTTCCTCCTCCTTCTTATATGATCTGGCTGTCATCCGAGAATTTTCGGTTATTGTACCACATACTAATTGTCTATAGTCCTAAAAGTATGTGTTGCCCATCTTGAAGTTCTAAATCGCCTCATCAGAAATGAAAATCTGAATAAAACACTGCAAATAATATGATTATGATAAAAAGTTCGTTTGGTTTTTTTTTCATGTTTATTAATTTCCTATATTAAATATCAATTCATGTAAAACAATAAATGATCATAGACATTATCTAATCAACAAAGGTTGAACTCATGATCTTATTATTCTAAAATTTTACATGAAATAAGTGATGATTTCTATGTCCATATGAATACATTTAAAACGACAGCTTCACCTCACTTTTCGTTTTGTTAATATTCATTTTTTACTGATAATAAACGTTTTGATCATGAATGTGTTGTGCATATCAAATTTCATCTCATTCAGACAAATGATGAATGCACTCATAATAAATCTCAAATCACAAACATATATATATATATACACATACATACGTATGTATATAAACACATTTGTTTTTTGTTCTCAATTACAAATTTTTTTTTTGCAGTGTACTTTTCAAAGCAATTAAAAGCAAAAATTTAAAAGAAAATAATGCGATTTTTTCTATTATTTTTATTTATTGGTTTATCATCAACATATGAACATTGGTTTATTTTTGATCAATATCAATTTCCAGGATTTTATACACCATTATTTACATTAATTTCTTCATCAAATAATAATACAGGTAAACAAGAAGAAAAAAAATTTTCATTTGCATTATCTAGTTATGAACGTTCAATTAATATTATTATTAATATTGGTGATTCATCTAGAACAATAAAACGAGATGAACAATTAATTAAATTAAATATTGAACGTGCTGATTTATTATATAATTCATTGAATCATTTAATTTTTATTGGTCTACGACAAGGAACTAAACTTGAAACATATGTTAATTGTAAATTAATTGATTCATATTTACTTTATTCATCATATCAAATTAATGATAATGATAATAATGATGAAAATTCATCGTTTAAAATTGAAAATTTAGCAAATGGTATTAAACATTTTGAAAGTAAAACAGATGAACATTATCATCAACAAATATTTGATAATTTTGGTTGTAAACAATCGGGAACAACTATTACTATGAATAATAAAACAACAATTATTGGACGACCATTAATTCGAAAAATGCAACATGTTATTGAAAAAGTTCAAAAACGTAAACTACGATCAAGGTACAAATAATTTGTTTTTTTTTTTTATCGAAAAATTTTTCACTTCTGATTTATTGTTATTTGTATAGACGTCATCAAAGTCAACAATCTTCTCTTGAATTAACCACAGACTCATTAACTATCATTTATAAACCAAATATTGCTCAATTAGATGATAGTGAAACAAATTTTCGTACTATTCTCAATGTGCCACAGTTTGCATTTGAAATCGTTCATTAAGGATATCTAAATGATTTTTCTTCTAAAAAGTAACATTTGTTTTTTTGTTAAATTATTAGATTGATAATACAAAAGGAAAGTCGGATTCATGGTTATTTTAGTCCATAAATAGCACTATGATTAAAAAATTGAAATATCATTACTTCGGTTTAATCAAATGGATTGATTTTTTTGTTTTTGGTTAGTGATAGAAGAAGTAAGAAAAATACATGTGCAGTGTTTCATAGGTAATGCTCAATTGTCATTTAAGAAAGTAATACGAAGAGATCAAAACGAACTTTATGAATGCTACGAACGAGTTATCGAAAAATAATTTGAAAAAATGTTCGTTCATTTTTTAAACTATCAAAGAAGATTGCAGAAGTTTGAAAACGTTGAGCTTGAATTAAAACTTTGTATCATTTCCAAAAATATAGGTTCAATATTTCTCTAGAATTTTTGCTTTAAGAGTTATACATTGATCTTTTAGAGGCATAAAAATTAAGTTTGAACGAAGAAAATTGATGTATTTTTTTGTTGCATTGAATTAAAGGAAAAATAGTTCTCTATAAACTTATATAAAAATCAAGAATTTCAGAACAATCATTCAGGAAAGGTTAAATTCACTTTGAAAGTCTATGCTTCATAAAAATTGAGGAAATCATCTAAATTGAATGGTATATCTTACTCGAAATACTCATTGATGACAAATGACTTGCAGCAAACTAATCGTTAGTACACTATTTTATAAAGAAATTTTTGCTTTTTCATTCTTTGTGTTTGAAATAATTTGTCGCGTCTACTTAAAGTAAGCCTGGGTGCATTGAAGCTCGTTCAATCTCAATTTATGAGCCCTGAAAACGTCAGCTCATAGTGTGTGGGTGTTGATCTTTCATTTACCCATAGGCATACCTACATCCCACACCCAAATTTTGTTGAAACTTGTCTACGTCAAATAGTATTATTACGAAAAAGAATTCAATTGAATATGATAGTTAAAGAATTTTTCGTACTATTCTCAATGTGCCACAGTTTGCATTTAATGTTCTATATTATCCAAAAGAACATCTATTTAACATTCGATTCAATAACGAAAATCGTACTCAAGTTATTTTATATGCTGATAAATCAACTGATCTTCTTAATTCTCGAAGTAAATCACAAGAATCATCATTGAATAATAATCTATTATCAACTATTATTCTCTTTATACATATAACACCAACAATGATAACATGTTATGTTAATTGTGAATTAACTGATCAAGAATTTATTATTGATTCATTCTATGTACAAAATATAATAAGACAAACAATGGATAAAACTCTTAATAATCAACAATATGATGAAAAACAAATTATCGAATATGATCGTCAATCAACATTAATTTTATTTAATACATCAATTGATCAAATAGCAGCAAATTTTTTTTGTTTAAAATTAGATAAGAAAAATGAAGATTTATTACCTGATAAATATGCTTTACGGTAACATATAATTTCTTTTTTTTTTTAACAAAATAATATTTTTAATTTTTATTTTATAGAAAATTTGCCAATGCTCTAGATATGTTAGTTAATAGTCTTGATATTCCTATAAATATAAATCATCATCAAAGTCAAACATCAACAACTCCAACAACAACTACACAAAGTATTTCAGCTGTAAATATTCATACAATAGATGGTTTTGGAAGTCTTATAGCTCCTTCATTAAATACAGATATTAATACAATATCAAATGATATTAGTGAATATGATAAATCATGTCTTACTGAGCAAGATTGTAATTCAAATAATTCACATTTAAAATGTCAACATAGACATTGTGTATGTTCAATACGTTATTTTTGGTCACCAATCTTACGTCGTTGTATATCATGTAAAGATTTATCAATTGGTAATCGTTGTTTTCGTTTATCAAATCATAAATCAACATGGTATGAAGCAAATGAATATTGTCAAGATGAAAATTCATCAGATGATCAACAAGAATATACAATGAAATTAGCATCAAATCTTAATCGTACAGATATTGAATTACTTCGACAAAGTCTTTTACATGAAGATGATGGTGAACAATTAGATTATTATTATTGGATTGGTTCAACAAGTCAATTTGATACACGAAAATTACATAAACATAATAATCGAAATAAACGACATGTACCAACAACAATATTTCGTTGGTATGATAATGGTGAAACAGCACAATTAAGTTTTCCAGATATATGGTGTTCACAAAGAGAACAAATGAATATAGCAACAATTAATAATAATGAATTATGTGTTAGTCTTACTTCATGTGGTTTATACGCTGATGATTGTCAACGAAATTATAGATTTTTATGTGAAGCTGTTTAAAAGAGTTTTTCTTTTTCTTTACCTTTTTTTTTTTATTACGAAATAAAATTCTTTTCTTTGTAGTGAAAAAGTAATTTGATAGGTTATAACAACTGTTACTAGTTGAGAAAAACAATATGAGATTGATAACAATAAAAATTAATTGGAAACAATATTCCCCTTATATATTAATTAATGCTATTTCTATTTTTCATACAACAATATATTTTTTGTATCTATGATTTTATTTTATCTAAGAAGAGAAATAAATAATAAAATTTTATTTATAGAAGTTATTTATAGGAAATACAGAAATTTTCAACAAAAACCTCTAAATAGCAATCAAAGCTTTACTTGAATAAACAATAACAAATGATATATTCGAAGTTTCCTTTTTTTATATTTCATAGGTTTTTAGGATTTCTGTATTTTATTTATTTATTGAAATATTTTTAGAAAAATGTTGAAATCTTAACCCAGTATGAATAACAATTCACTTTCATTATAGTATTCTGAGAATGCTTTTAGCAATTCCTTTTGAACGCATCTGAAAGAAATCCTTCGCGATAAAAGATATTCTCATTCTCATAGAATACGATTAATGTGAAACAAATCACGAAAAAAAAAACAAGTTTTTACCCAATAAAAACAGATTTAGATAGGTATAAATTCTTCTCTATTACTTAGAAAAATGCGTTCTTGATACAATGCATTCTTGTATATCGAGAAGCTGATTTAGAAGCAAATTTTACTTTAAAACTTAATCTTTTACTTATAAAAGTTTAACGTACATCTCGAATTATAGGAAGTGAAATGAATATTGCTTATGTGATTCATACGTCATTACTCAGGATGCGATGTAGCTAAAAAGTACACGGATGTAAGAAAGTTTTTCTGACAGATGGAATGATATACAAATTGTTAAAAGTGAGTGTTGATGTAAAATTATTTTACCTTCTATGATCTTTTTGTGTACTCAAAAAGTGAGTACACTCTAGAATCGGTCAGTGTGTCCGTCCGGCCGTTAACACGATAACTTTTGAAAGGAGAGTCCGATCGCGACGAAATTTTCTACACAGTTTAGTCTTAACAATATCTCGGTCGAGTTCGAAGATGAGAATGATTGGCCGAACCATTGCTGAGTTATTGCAAAAATAGTCATTTTTCCCTATGAGAAGATAGACCCTTCTCTACTTTCATAAAAAACTTTTCCTATCATAGTCATATAAAACTCCAACTATTATATACCATTCGATAGAGAATTTCACGAGCTACAAAATGGTATATAAAACATAAAGAAACAAGAAAGCTAACTCGCCTATTGCAAAGATAATTAATCGGAATTCGGTTCTGTTTTTGTCCACGCTCTATGTGATCCACAATTAGAGCTCTATCTTCCCATCACAGCGATGATAGTTCGAGGTTTTCTAGAATGGAGAACTTGAATCTATGTTCCATTCGCCTCGAAATCCCATTGGTTGAGCAGTGACCAATAGAAATCAAGTTATAGGAAAAACGAGTTTCTTAGGGTAAATCAAGGTGAAGAGTTCAAATCTGAGCTGTATTTGCCTCCAAATCGTATTGACTGAGCAATAGCCAATAGAAATTAAGTGTTTACAGGACGGGTTTGCCAGGACAATTTTGATGTCCACACATTCTAGGGTGACTCATCTGTCTCATTCACTTTTTCCTGTACCAATATTGACCTATTCCGAGGAGGGGGGCGTGTTTAAGTACCTTTACGTCTTTAAGTCCTATATTAGGGGGGTATCGTTATGTTCTCAAGTCCTGTATTATAGGGGTGCCTTTAGGTCCTCAAGTCCTATACTATAAGGGTACCCTTAGGTCCTCAAGTCCTATATTAAGGAGGTATCGTTACGTTCTCCAGTCCTATATTATAAGGGTACCCTGAGGTCCTCAAGTCCTATATTATACGGGTACCCTTTGGTCCTCAAGTCCTATATTAGGGGTACCTTTAGGTCCTTAAGTCCTCTATTATATGGGTACCCTTATGTCCTCAAGTCCTATATTGTGAGGGTGCGCTTAGGTTCTCAAGTTCTATATTATGAGGACTCAATTATCTTCACTTTTTGTGTACTCAAAAAGTGAGTACACTCTAGAATCGGTCAGTGTGTCCGACCGTCCGGCCGTTAACACGATAACTTTTGAAAGGAGAGTCCGATCGTGATGAAATTTTCTACACAGTTCAGTCTTAACAATGTCTCGGTCGAGTTCGAAGATGAGAAGAATTGGCTGAACCATTGCTGAGTTATTGCAAAAATAGACATTTATCCCTATGAGAAGATAGACCCTTCTCTGTTTTCATAAAAAACTTTTCCTATCATAGTCAAATAAAGCCCCAACTATTATATACCATTCGATAGAGAATTTCACGAGCTACAAAATGGTATATAAAACATAAAGAAACAAGAAAGCTAACTCGCCTATTGCAAAGATAATTAATCGGAATTCGGTTCTGTTTTTGTCCAGGCTCTATGTGATCCACAATTAGAGCTTTATCTTCCCATCACAGAGATGATAGTTCGAGGTTTTCTAGAATGGAGAACTCAAATCTATGTTCCATTCGCCTCGAAATCTCATTGGTTGAGCAGTGACCAATAGAAATCAAGTTATAGGAAAAATGAGTTTCTTAGGGTAAATCAAGGTGAAGAGTTCAAATCTGGGCTGTATTTTCCTCCAAATTGTATTGGCTGAGCAATAGCCAATAGAAATTAAGTGTTTACAGAAAGAGTTTGCCAGGACAATTTTGATGTCCACACATTCTAGGGTGACTCATCTGTCTCATTCACTTTT